TTAACATCAGTCTGTGATTCAGATATTTTTAGGCCAGCAGAGAAGGCCTTGCAGGCCCTGACGGCCCACCACTGATTGAACAGCATGTGGAGAGACTCAAGCATGTTGAGTAACATGGACGTATGCCATACTGTATGTTAAAATTAGTGTATAAGCTAAAATTAGCCAAAATGCTAATGTTAACCTAAATGCTGGCAGTAGCATGTGGAGCATCACTAGCATGTTTTTTTTTTTATTTGTCTTACTCCATTCAGTATGCTAAACATGTCTAATTACTAAGAAAATTAGCTAATTGCTAACTTTAGGGAAAAGGCTAAACAATGTCTCATAATAGCTCATGCTTCACAAGGCAGTCACTACCCTTCTCTATGTAATGCTATGGCAGGCCCCAATGACAACAACTCTGAATTCATTGTTCAAGAAAAAGAAGAAAAAGAAACAAAACCTTGTATTAAAAGTTATTTGTGTTTAGAGTAAAATCATATATCCAAATATCCTCTATCAATCCCCTCCAATCTGACTGAGCTTGATCTGTTTTGCAAAGATGAATGAGCAAAAATTTCTGTCCTTAAATGTGACGAGTTTGTGAAGACAGACCTCAAAAGATTTTTAGTTTAATTTGAAGCAAAAAGTTGTTCTAAAAAGTATCGACTCAGCATGGCTGAATACAAATATTTCCTGTACAGATTTGATTTTTTTAAAATAAAGTTATCCTTCCATTTCATTTGGGTCTATCTCATAAACAAACAACCTAAAAACTAAAGTCAGAGTGAGAGAAAGTGCTTTGGTGGTGCATTCTGAATCCTTAAAATGCAAACATGTTCTGAAGTGCATCACTGCAGGACGGTAACCTTCCTTACCAAGAGCTGGGTCAGCACACTCTTTGTACATCTGGGGGGTGCAGAAGGAAGCGTCGCCTGCAGCACAAGCAACACACACATGAATGCATTCCTCTGTTTCGCTTGTCCAAGCATCCACAGACATGTATTGATTTAACTTCAATACCGCAGATGTCCTACCAGGCATGTGCACCATGCGGCAGTTGCAGTTGTCCACCAGGTAGCGCGTCTCGCAGTCTATGCGGCAGGCGGTGATGCTGTAAGTGTCGAAGAAGTCTGAATCCATGGGCGTCACCTTACAGTCCCCCCAGGGCGGAGGAAGATATATGAGCTGTAATGACAACAAACATGTCTGGTCTTCATAAATCAAATTAAACCTTTAAAAGCTGAGGATGAAGCAGTTTGAAATATGAGGAGGATTAAATAGTAGGTAAAGGAAAGAGCAGCATGGACGAAAGATAGGCTGCAGAAATTGATTAAAAATTAAAAATCAAGAAAGTAAAACAGTAAAACAAACTGGGCTGTATTTTCTTACTACGATTAATACCATGTAGTGTCATTCTTTCTTATACATAATCTCAGGTTATCTGATGAAAAATAAGGCAACATTTTGTTGTAATTGACAAATACATTTCTCTTAAATGCTGCTAGTTAGTTTATTACTTATTTTCAAGTGGAAAAACTAAAAAGATGAGATGCTTTGGATGCTTATTTATCAGAAAATGTTCAGATTTTAAATCTATGCAGTCAAGAAAAACATCAAATCAAAAAATCAAACCGACTATTTTTGCATCGATTTTCCTATATTTTTTGTTTCTCATAGTCAAACAATGTCTGCAATTGGGAACTGCCAGCACGCACTGACCGGCAGGACAAAATTACCAATATTTCAAAATTATTTATCATAAGTTTGAAATATTTGTATTTATCATTAACATGTTTTCATTTAAAAGTGTTAAAGCTGAACTTTGCAGGCAGGAAAGTTTATGCAGCTTAGTACTTCATTAAATAAATTATACCTTCTTTGTTGTTGGGATTTTGACTCGAAAACTGATAAAACACAAAGAATTAAAAATGATGTCTGATTTTATAATTGATTTTTGAAGATAAAAGTCTTGTGTCTCTTCAGTTTGTTTGGTGTGTTTTAAATAGGCTGGAATCAAACTGTTTGATTGGTAGAGGACTGATATGCTCCAGATATTGGTCGCCCATTACATCACCCCAAAGATTTAGGAATATTATCAACATCATGACCTGCACTGTATAGTAACAGATGGTTCTTTAAGCTGCATTTTTTTTAAAAAAGACTTCAGTATCTGTTTCCTGCATACTCTGGTGCACATAACTTCATTTATGTTATGTGCACATAACATAAATGTTATGTGCACATAACAAAGGTGAAAAACAAAGGTGAAAAAAGGAGGCAGAAATCTACGTTCCAGACTCTAGAGTTCGTACCCGCTGTTCCTGGCAGGACACAAACGTCTGGAATCCTGGTGAAACACCAAATCCTAGCTGGTCGATGAAGGACGGCTCCTCCTGACTGTGTATCTGAACTTTGATCCCAGCTTCAAAGGAAGTCTCATCTGAGGGGAGACAAAGGTGAAGAGAGTGTGAGATAACTGATAAGAGATAGAAAAAAGGAGTAAGCTTACACGAAAGACTTTTTTACTAGAGAAAACTTTGAAATTTTCTAGAAAAACAACACATTTCTAAGGTTTAAAAGTAGAAAATTACTAGAAAAACAGACATTTTGAGATTAGTCTCAGAAAATTCCTAGAAAAAACAAGAAAATGTTTGAGTCTGAAATGTTGAAAACTTTCTAAAAAAAAAACTTGAGATTAATTAAGACATTTTCTGGAAAATCAAGAAAATTCAAGGGTTCAAAAGCCAGAAATTTGCAAGGAAAAAAAATCTACAATTTTTAGATTAATCTTAGAAAAACAAGGACATTTTGGAGTTTGAAAAGTTGAGAAGTCTCTAGAAAAATGTCAGAAATTTTGACATTAATCTTAGAAATGTTCTAGAAAAAACTAGGAATTTTTTGAGTTGAAAATGTGAACGTTTGCTATAGAAACAACTCGGAAAATTTGAGATTCATTTAAGAAGTTTTCTAGAAAAAAACAATGAAGTTTGAAACTTTTGAATCATCAAACATTTCTGAGTTTTGAAGCTAAGAAATAATAAAAAAATATATAATCTTGTTTTTTCTACACACACACACACACACACACACACACACACACACACACACACACACACACACACAAGGGTCTCTGACCTGTTTCTCCCCAGACTGGCAGGTATTCATCCTGCTGGATGTCCAGCATGAGCTCCAGTCCGTTTCCCATGCCGCCCTTGGTGGTGATGAGCGGAGGACTCCCATCTCCACCGGCGTTGAAGGTGTAGCATTTCCCGTAGCGAGTGAAGACCTAAAGTGACACAAAGGAAGTTCAGAAATGACATGTCATGCTTTTCCACTTGGGGTCAGTGTTGCACTCACTTTCTGGGGTTTATGTGTGCATGCGTTTAGGTGTTGGTGATAACATGTATATGTATTTGACAGATAAAGCATGACAGAAACAGAGAGAGGAAAAACTGTGGGAGAAAGAGGAGCAGGAGGAAGAAAATGGTAAAAAGAAGCGTTTTTTCCCCCCATGGCTGTGTAAGTTACACAATCAGCCCAGTGAGGTGATGGAGACTGGCAGTCTGGCGATTTAACATTCCCTCGCTCGCTCTTTATGGCACTTATAATGGACCTGATGTTACCATGGAGACCAAGCATCCCAGCCAGGAAGAATGCTGCTTTAATTTTCAAGGAAAGCTGAGAGACAGATGTTAAATCGGGCTTCTGTGAAATACGAACAGCACCCAGTTTCATAGAAACCAAACAATATCAAGCAGTGAAGGACTCTTGCATTAGACCGTTAAGTGCTGCGTGAGTCACATAAACCAAGGCAGGGAACGACGGAGAGTTGGGATGCAAAGTGAAGAAGACAGAGCGATAGCGGGAGTTTAGCCTCTGATGCTTGGAGCAAGCTTTTGTTCGCCATTTTTTTTTGCCACAGACTGACATATCTATGATTAGAGGGAGCAACCCAAACAAGTAATTGCCGAGAAAGAGTTTGGATCTCGCTGCAGGCAGTTTAAACATTTGGGGCCATCTATCATGAAAAGTCAGCGAGGGACTGCTGCTGGTTGCAGCAGACGCAGACATCAATCTGAGGTGGAGAAAAACATTCAGCGCTGAAAAGGCGATGGGAAGGCACATTAGGCCTCGGTATTTACTTTGTTTTTCAAGTGCTGCACACTGAAAATATGCAAAAATGAAAATGTGAAGGGAGCACGAGTGCAGGACTGGGAGTAATTGGAGTTTATGTGTTTTCTGTGTCTTTTGAAAGCATCACAAAAATATTCACACCCAGCTCGAAATGGGTTCAAACGGCTGAGTGCAGCAATTTTCACAGCAATTACAAAATGTGGTTTTAGCTCCGAGTGCAAGTCTCCAAAATGACGGCATAAATGCACCAAGCTCAATGGTGAAGCTGAAAGTGTTTCATTTGCTGCACATTTGTAGTTTTCATGCTGCAAGCTGCAATTATACATAAAAAAGATACATCTAAATTTGTACATCTTCTAAATGTTTGAGTTTGCCTCACTGCAAATGCCATCATTATGTCGATTTAATGAGAAGCTGGTTGGATGCTGATAAGAAAGATGACCAAGGGAATTTAACATGTTAATACAAACTGTAAATTAACATCTTCACAAAGCAACATAATCTCCTCCAGTTTTTGCATCAGTTGTTTGCTTTATTATTTCTGCACGATTTATTAAGCAGATTGCACGAAACGCACACAGTGGCAGTTTCGCTCATTAAGTCCAATGGGAGAAATTTACAAATATTTCTATGTCAGGTTGCAGTTCTTCAGCCACAAACTAAGTAAAAAGCATTTATTAATATTTTAAGTTCGATAAAAGCTTTTATTATCAAGACAAGCTGCTTTAAACTAAGAAGCATCTGCAGAAATCACTTATTGATTCAGTCAGATGTTCTGGTTCAGGTCCAGTTCTCTCTTATATCAAAATGTGCCAGATTATAACAATTGTTCAAACTAATAATATAAATATATTGAGGACTACTAATTTATAATTATGTAATTATGTCCGAATAAAAAAGTTAGTGTGTGATTGGATTCACAATCCTCCATGAAAACACAGTAATTTACATAAATTCTTAAAAAAGATTTCCCCATTAAATATGTAATATTTCATTTAAACATTGAACATTTCTGGAATAAGTTTTGCACACTTTGCATATTAGTTCCTACAAATATTGCGGTGCACTTTCTTCCACTTATTGCAACACAATCTCTCAGGAAATCACTCTGTCACCACTGACAGTCACTCTGGCAGCCTATTTTATAATTTCAGAACAATTTATATTCTGTGAAATCACACTATTTATTAAACAAAGCAACCAACTAACACAAAATACACAAATTTGTAATTTAGGATTCAAAAACTGCTAGACTTTTTGGATCGAAAAGACTTATTTTGTCCAAATGTATGGAGAGCCATTTGCGCCAAAATTAACTAAATAAATAAATGGGTTAAATAAATAAAAAATGAGTAAAATAAATCAAAAAATGAAGTAAATGAGTGAAATAAATAAAAAATTTGTTAAATAAATAATTTAGCTTTTTCATTAAACCAATTTTTAATTTATTTATTTTTCATATTATCAATTTCCCAATTTCTCTTTTTCATTTATCTATTTGTCATTTATCCCTTTATCCATTTACCCATTCAAATGAAGAACAAAAAGGACAAAAAAAGACGTCCGTATTCGACTAACTGGCATACCCGTCAATCCAGCATACTTCATGGTAACGCGCATGCGCACATCGATGTTACGTCACATACTGCTTACACATACCGCCGATCCAGCAAGACTTGTAGTACCGTAATTCCGCCACATGTTGCGCTGTCTGAAAAATTCCAGCAGTTTCTGAAAGGGGAGACGTTGCGCTTTCCAGCCAATATCGGGTTATTACGGTAATATACCGTAGTGTCTTTTAACAGACTGTAAATTGTGAAAATAGCTTCCTAGATGTTGAAAGTTCCAGTTGTTATGGGCAAATATATTTACTCACAGGACATTTAAAGAACTGCGTGCAATTAAAATAAGCAAACATATCCGAGCGGACTTTTTAAATTTAGGACATAAAGGGTTTTAAATAACGATTAAGAAACCGGTTTGGGATTCCCATCTCAGTGCTGTGTGAGGAAAAACAACAGGCAAAATAAAATATTGCCGTCTGACAGTTTGAAAGCGTAATGTTGCTGTGGTTTGGTGTGGAAGAAAATGTAGGTGTCAAATGTTTCTGGAGTGAAAGGAATGAGTCTGAGCTGATGGGAGCCTGGAGAAGACCAGAAATTGGAGAACACTGTTGGCAGGCACTGAAATTCAGTATGAATAGATTTCTGTCTGGAGCTCATGAACTGCCAGGATGCGTTGTAAAATGACAAAAACTATTTTTCAGCCAGGTATTGTTTGAGAGTCTTTAAGTCACAAACCTGCCAAGAGGAGAGACGCCACAATGTAAATATTCGAGGTTAGTTATTATTGGTCCCAAACAATCCCAGCAGTCAGATGATTTATTCTGTGTTGGCATCACGTCACGTGTTCGTCATTTTTGGTTTGTTGCATCTACTAAACAATATTTGCAACACAAGACACATTACATAAAATAAAACATTTTGCAGAGTTAATCCTCACTGGTCAAAGCTGAATATTTAGAAGAAATATGTTCAGTAACTCTGAGGTTGTTGAAATATTTCAGTGTTGATCGGCTGACTGACGCTGCTGCCTTTGGAGTTTAAAGTCTCTTCATGAAAAACCGTCTTCCTTTTCTTTTCCTCTTCTCTCTGCTGGAGTTGGCGCTCTCTACACACTCATTTTCACCTATTGATCACACAGCCTGATGGCTGGCTCAACATCTGTAAAAGAGGAAGGACTCTGTCCTTTCTCCTGCAGTCGGAGGAAAAATGCGTTGACCGGCACGGCATAAACAAATCAATCATTGTATAAATGTTAAATGGTGTATATGAGAGGTGCATAATGTTCTCCAGCAGTGTGATCGATCCACAGATGTGAGTTTATTTCAGGCGACACTCGGCCTCAGCTGTAGGCTACACCAAAACAAAGTCTGTGGAGCTTTTCTGCACAATAAAAATGGTTTTCAGCACCAGAATAAAAAAAAAAGTTATTTATTTCAATCTGTAGAACGTAGAAACTACAAATCAATCCTTCCTGACATTCTGTAATTAATTATCTTCTATACTTCAAACAGACTGTAATGTTTGTAGCTTTCTGATCTATAAAACTGTCACTCACATGTAATTTTTCATGCATTGAAAAGCTCTCAACAGAGCTCAGCGGTAATAAGTCATTATGCACATAATTATGTATATCTGTTTTATATACCCATGTCAGGTTTTCAAAGAATCTCTAAAAGGCTAATCCTTGCACTTTGCCATCCATTTGGCAAGGTCTTAATACAGCCTTCCAATCTGCGACTGGCTAAAAGACGTCTCAGAAGGCTACGTTCAGTCCATTAGCGCTCTCCCTGTTTAATAGGGGCGGTTTTAAAGACTTGAAAGCTGTCTCGGTGAAGTGCAAACACTTTCACTGTTATTAAGGTGTATTCTTCAACACCTACCGCTGGGAAAGGCAAGCAAGGAGCAGTCAACAGTGACCAGAGCGACAATAAAAGCTAAAGAGCGTTACAAAAGCAAAACAGAACAAATTCAATCAGGATTTCAGCTTAAGGAATACAAAATAGCAAAAACATCTCTGCTTTTCTTCATGTGTATGAAGCTTCTCAGACATTTTTTTAGGCTGCTAGCTTGCTGCCAGCTGTTTGCTAGTGTTAGCATGCTAACAGCATGTTGAAATGTTTATGCACAGCATTTATTTTAATGTGTTACGGTAGTTACACGTCCACTGCTAATGGGAGCATGTCTGAAGGATTTGGTTGCACGGCAGAATAAAATATTTATGGGGACATCATAAATCAGAGACTATGAGATTATTGTCCTCTTGTTCTGCATAAAATATGCAAATAAACTGGTCTCACTTTTTACTTCTCTGTTTGTTAACTTCTAGATGGTGAAAAATTGATTGCCAGAAACAAAAATGGCCTCGATTTGCAAAGGTGTGATGTTTTTGTTAGTGTGATGTTTTTGTTGTTGTCTCTCTGCGATGTCTCTTAGAGAAAACACTGGTTTGGGCCCACAGTGCTTGAAATGTCGAACCTTTTCTCTTTTTGTTTGTGTCCACAGCGGTTTTCACATAAGTTTAAGATGCATTTCCTCTACTATGTTAATTGTATTCCTGCTTTTTCTGTCACCATTACGTTTTTATCAG